CTTTCCACATTTGGAACTCGCATTTTTTAATATGGTAGGATGAAAGTACTGCAAAATTATGGCACACTGTAACTTAAGGTGTTACTGTGTATTATCATATTTTGTCTTTTTTCGTAAACATTTTAGATAATTTGAGTTTCTTGGAAACAATTTGTGCATAAAAAGTTATCTTGTTCGTATGCAATGCAAAAATCGATTCAAACAATTACAACAGACACAATTGGGATACATAGATATATTTTATATCACAAGTTTATAACTACATGTATAGCCACTTGACATACTAAACTCTTACCAAAATAAGTAAACACAAATAAGGTTATGGGTAATTTAAAATAACAATAAATGCAAATGTATATTATACTGTCCACATCCTTAACCATGTGAACTCAACCAGTCAGCAAACTTCTTATATATTAAAAATAAAATCCTCATTCATAAATATGTCAAATTACTTTTTTTAGCTGACAATTGTATATAGCTGCAATAAGTTTCCAATAAATGTAGTGTTAACCTAATTGAGCAGAAATAGTATAAAAGAATAATACTTTTAAAATGACTGTTGCTGGCACTTAATTTCTTAATTAAGTTATTTTCTTTTGACTGATGCCTGTAATTCCTTGATATGCAAGTATGAAATGTAGTGTTAATTACATTGGTAGTTCCGCAACATGTTATGTGCACATAATGTTACGTTTAATTCACTCTTAAATATGTAGTTGGTGAAAACTAGGGTATTTACATATATCTCAACAACTAATCATTTCATTTTGATTGTATCGATAATTTTAAACGAGCAAGTAAATTTGCTGTGAAGATTAGACTTAAACATGCAGTTAGAACAAATAAATAGAAACAGAACAATATATGTAATATAAATAAATCTAGGACACTGTATACATTACTGGACAATTACTTTTTTAGAAGAGTACATTGGACCTGTGGGAAAATCAACACAAATGACGATTATACTGAAATATGCAATTGGAACAAATAAATAGAAACAGAAAAATATGTATAATATAAATTTTATAAATAAATAAATCTGGGACACTGTATACATAACTAGACAATTACTTTTGGTAAAAATTCCAATTTTTTTCTGAACTTGAACACTTTCTGCAGATTTTTAAAATGCCAGATCATTCACAATATTGTAGATTGTGACTGTTCACCATCGTCATCTGTCTGACCAATGTATATGCCACTATCGCTTACAAAAGACAAATTAATTTCCCCACTACTAGCTTTATTCGATTTGGGTGTGGTACTAATATGTTCTTTGTCACTGATATCACTTCTTTCATCACCGTTAATGCTGTTACCGCCTTCTTTTTCTTTGTTCATTTTCTTTCCAAGTATATTCACAGTATAGTCTCCAATGGTTAACACTTTCGGGTACAGTGAATCGGAACGGTCGTCGAGAATATTGAACAAAGACTTCAACATGTTTATCTCTTTGTTTTTCTTTAGGGTTGCAAAAAAAAAAGAAGATGTATTTTTAACATGTATTCGATAGGTCAAAACATCCAATATGTCAGATGTATAATTTTTGCGAGATGAGAGGAATCAAACGTCTCATATGTGTGCTTCAGGTGTTTCAAAGAAGGGACCACAAGCTCATTTTATTCACCGAAAAATTTGTTGAATTTCATTTCATGGCTAGTGATTCTCCACAGATTCCTTAATTAAATAGTTTGCGTGAAAGAAGATTATGCGTCTTTAACATTTTGCATGTGTGCTACTGGTGCAGACGTGTATGAGAAATGTGTCTCCCATAGTTCTGATATTTTGGTGATGTAGAATAAAAAAGTCATATATTGATACAAATGTGAAAATATTTTCTTTTTAAATTGACGTATAATTTGGGGTTGTGGTTTATAGTACAGTATATCAAAACCCCAAAGTCAAGAATGGGCTGACCTTTGTGCGAGATTGCAGGCACCCCTACTTGCATATGCCTGGACTGATTATATTAAATTTTCGCGCATACGTCATGCATATTGGAATACATATGCATGTCAAGTCGTTTTGCGAGCTGACTCAAGATTGCCAATTGGCGTTAACATTTGTGCTAAAATATCATCAAAATCAAACATTTTTGCTGCCATTGTGTTTGAATGATGCCATGATCGGTACTGGTCGAACCTATTATGTGAATCATACATCATATCACACATTCGCATATGAATTCATTTGGTGACACAATTTGGCAGTATGGTGGTCATTTGAATTTCAATTAAATCATCAATTCTCGATCTTGCATGGAACATGACAATTGCGAGTGACTAATGAATACAAACTGGCTAAAGTAGTTTTTATAGCTTATGTCATCATGAGCCAATTACTCCAACTACTGGGATCGAAATTACAGACTCTTATGCAAATAAAGCCTAGTGTAATTCCTAAATTGATAGCGTTTGTGTGCTTGTGCATATTGCGTGACCTGAGGTCAACAAACCAGAAGGTAGGACAGATTTCAAACGTTTCAAACGCGCAGAGTCGTAGTACACCAAATATCAATGTTTCCAACTCCAACGTAAAAATTCCCCTGAAATAAAACTGCCATAATCTTTCAACTAACTCGTACCAGCCTCTGAAAATTTGCACACCATTCTGCCTAGGCAAGCATAACAAGCATGCAAGTTATTTCACAAACACCATTTACTAGTATTTGGTGTTCAATGGCATGATAAAAAAAACTATCAAATAGTGCCATTTGATCCATGATTAGTCTGCCAACTCTAGCTTGTCCGAGCCTTGCCTTGAACCTTGTCTGAGTATGGGACAATGTGTTGGCATTCCAGTGCATCATGAGCAGTTACTGAGCAACAGAGACTCTGCGCTCCCATCTTAGTTATAGTAGATACCAGTTGTGCCATTGTCCTTGTTTGTTTACAAGAGAGGCCAATAAGCCAATGTGTTTGAACAATTGGGTGGTGATCCAGATACCTTGATCATTAATATGTTCTGGCATGTAGAGTTGACGGTCACCCACAGAGCAGTATGTTGTGTGTGCTGTCAAAGTGTATATGATGTACATGTCCCGTCCAATAGAGGGTGTCATAGAGCGGTACAAAATAAAACACAAACTGTCAACATGTCGGGCGACTTCTTGCTAGCACATTTCATGTTGATATTGTTAAACAATATCTAACTATTATTCTCGAACCAAAGCCAATATGATGAACAGCAAAGACGAATAAGCAGTTTAATAGTATCCACTATTGGTTGTAATTGGCCAGTGATGACATAAAAAAAGTATATACACGTAATTAGCTTTCGTTTTTGCTTAAAGTTGTTTGTTTGTGCATATAATTGTTGTTAATTGGAGTAAGTCCACGTTCTTTAATAAGACACTCATAATAAAAAATACTTGCAATAAACATGTACATTTACATTAGTGTACATAAATTCCTATAGTAGAGTATTCTGATTAGTCAAAAACATTTTAATATTTATCCAAACTAAATCGGTGATAATTCAATTGGAAGAAATGTCAGGGGGAAAATTCTCTCTCGGGTTCTCCACACTTGTCAGGAGAGAATCTCGTCTCGTCTCTCTATCTCGTCCCCTTGAGGTACGGGATCGGGAATGTCACTTTAACTTTACAGTCAAATAAGACACACACAACGAAATACGTTTCAGCTCTCGTCTTAGTCGGTCAATCGAGCACTCTATAAGACACAGCGCCCTGGGGAAAAAATCCCCAAGACTGGACTGCCTCAAGGCTCGCCCCTGGACTGGACTCTCGACTCTCAGACTGCCTCTCTCTACTGCGTCTATCGTGCTGTGCTCCCCAAGACCAACTCAAACTCTCTTTATTCATTTTCAAAACTCTAACCAATTACAAAGCAGTAAAAAGACTCTAGGGCGTAACCTTCAATCATAAAGCCAATCACACTAAGTACTGAATACGTCATATCTTTTGATTAATCGTTCACTACATTAATAACTATGAATATAAACTGTCAGAATCGCGACTGTTATCTGGTAATTAGTTCCAAATCACTGAGCCAAGTTCCGTCCAAAACTTCAAATAGACCTTAACGATGACAGACATAACACAGCAATTCGCCAATAATCAGTTAATTAAGTCGACCAACAGATACGCGAAAACAAATTCATGACAGAAACACCACAAGGGTGCGTCGGTGGTTATTGAACTTACGATTGTTGTGTTTTATCGTAATTGCAGTATAATCCTAAGATACAAATAGGGCTTGGTCATTCTTACCTCTCGCAAACATGAACGAAGCTGATTAAGTTCCTTGGCAACGTCCCCTCTATAAACGCTATCTTGATACATTGATTTCACACTGGCACTCTCTGTCTCCGCAGCAAGGTCGCCGACACGTGTCCGTGCATGGTTGGATTCAATTGCGTTTGAAGCAGAGCGCATGGCAATTTTGGAGAGGTGGCCATCAGGGTCTTTGATGACTTGTCTAATTTTGGGTATGAAGAGGAAGCACAACGTAACAGTTGTGCACAAGACGATGCAGAATGCAACACAACCATAGGCAATATCTGGGCGGTTTTGCAAGGCGAATGAAACTGTGACTCCCATTATGCACAGCACGACCACGTTATAAACAGACAAACCAATGTACCTGGAAATAATAGATGTACATGTGAGCATTGCCGTAGACAATTAACAATGAAACTAGCATAGATCAAACTTTAAAGTTTACTAGTAGTCAAAGTGACTGGAGCCATTTATACTACAGGCATTGGCATATCAAATGGGATGAAAAATATATACCACATAGTAAGAAGCATAACAATGCAGTTTCTCTGCATCAGTGACGTTGAAAGAAAAAACTTCCGTTTTTGACTCCCATGTGCGAAGCACAAAATGGGAGTCTTTGCAGTTAGTGTGTCTGTATGTGTGTGTGTGTGTATGTGTGTATGTGTGTGTGTGTGTATGTGTGTCCGACTGTTCCACTGCTATCTCAAGAACCATACATCGGTTTTTGATGAAACTTGGTGCATAGATGCTCTGGGCCAATG